TCATTTGGCCAGCAATACCGAATCCAAATGTCAATTTTTATTATCTAACCAGAAGTGGAGGCTTTTTAAGTTTAAAAAATATATAGTTGCAATATAATCAACCTGTATTAAATATAATACATTTAATGCAACTCGGGCCAAATATATTTGGCAAATACATTAAACATCGAACTACCCATTATCAGAACGAAATTTATTTAATTTGTGTTAAAATATACAATATCTGCAATATTTTTGTTGTCGTTTAAGTAACATTATTTGAAAATGGTAAAAGTAATGTATCTCTTTTTCTAAAGTCACAAAACCAATAAGCAATGCACTATCGCTTCATTTGTTTTCAGATCCTTTATTTTTTTCTTTAGTGCAAATTTACGATTCACAGTTCAAAACAGTAAATACATCAAAGTAGCAACCGAGTTTGTCAATTATGCGTAAACTGACTGCTCTGTACGTGACGCTGGTTTCTGCAGTTGCATTTTCACTTGACTAAACCGCACGTTGCACTCCTACGTGCATCAATAATCAAACTAAAATGCAATCGATTTTGATTTGAGCTGCTATTTGTATGCAGAATTTATTTTTCGAGTCTAAAAATGGGAAAAATGTTGTGGAAACACGTTCTTGCGTCGGGATCTGGTGTATCCTAGTGGTAAGGATTTATGCATATGTGGTGCATTAAGTTTAGCACCCGTAATTTTATATACGAATTTTTGGAACAATTTTAGTTGAGCTATTCTCAGGTTTTTTTATTCAAAAATTTTTTCATTAAGACTATTAACTACCTGAAACAACAGAATTTTTCCGGTGGATGTTTGAAATCCCACTTTTTTTTGTTAGCAATACTTTTAAATGACACTCACTTATGACATTATTTATTGAAGTATAGTTTACTGAAGAACTTGTGATATTTCGATATTCTTTAGCATATGTTATAAACAACACTAAGTTTAAAGTTAAGTCCAAAACTTAATTTTTAATTAATTCTTAGTCAGCTTTATAATGTTGAAATTGAACTTAAAAAAATTTCACTAAGAAGGATTAAATTAATTTATATAGCTGTAGTTTATGTGTTCGTTCAAACCAATATGGTAGGAAGTACAATTGACCTACAATATAATAAAAATACAATATAACTACATTTTTTTAACACAAAAATAAATCTGACACCCACATCTATTGCTCAACTTTGATAGGGTTCTAATACTGATATTTGCAATCTATGAATTAAGTTCGAATAATAAAATTCCAGAGACCATTGATGATCTATTTTTAAACAATATACGCAACATATATGCGATCAGTGAAAGGACATTTAATACTAATGATTCAAGATGTGCGGGAAAGTAATTCATGATTAAAAAATTGGACATTGGACAGACTGGTTCTCTTCTTCCTGTTTCCTGAAGTTACGAAACTCAAAGCATCAAACCAAATCTGTAGGATAGACTACGATCAATTAAAACCTGCATTTAACATAATATATCTACAGTATTTCATTTTAAAGCATTTAAATATTGTTACTAATTAGAAAGAATAGTGTAATATGTTCTGTAGTTGCTCAAGTATTACATACTTTAATAATATGTATGTACTCATTCAATTATAAAAGTATTGTATATAATAGTTATGCGAAATAAAAGTTGCTTATTAATGGTGTTATAACTTCTTAATTGTTCCTAATTAAAATATTACAATCTTTTAATAAACAATTACTTGCTTTGTAGTTCTTAGTAGTTAGAAACCTTTCTCCTTTAAAAAAACTCTAAGAAATTTGTTATTTGATTTAACGATCTGTATCAAAGTCTGAATCAAATTTAATCATTTCAACTACACTTATGAGATATTCCATGTTTCTGTCAAATGCAATGTGCTAAGCAATTTGACGTACTTACTAACAATAGCAAGTTCTTACAACGTACATTTGCGTACTTATAGAGACAACGTCACAAGCATATATGAAATATTAATTACTATCTGCGGTCGTAGGACAAAACATGAAAATCAACAAATTTCAGTTCTGCAAATTAAGTTTAAGATACAATCTATTTACAAGAATTTCAATAAAAATGTATATATTGTTATAGGTATGCTTTCGAAGTGAAATTTTATTAAAAATTTTCTTAATGGAATGTTTTCATATGATGCAAACAATTCAAGAAAAGCAAAGACAGCGTTGGAGATAAAAATCATCCTCGGTCATCAACAACAGAGGAACAATATGCAAAGAAACCAAAGATTGTTGCTAAAAATCGTCGATAGATAACACTCACCGTTAAAGTCGTCAAGCAATACTAACAGTATAGGTATAGTATAGGTACAGTATAGGAAAAAATACAAACTGAAGATTATACTTGGACCTATATATACGTACCGGAATCAAACGACCAATCAAACGACATACAACGTTGAAAGAATTGCGATAAATTGGTTCGAAAGTGAACGTTCTGATAATAGTTTTACGAATTGAAAATACCGTATACCTACTTGTTCTTGTAGCTAAAAAAACTGCTCAAGGGACATCTTTACAAGCTGATTAAAGACATGAAAGCCAAAACACTACGCATTTCGGAGAACATTCGGAAAATCAACTTTAACTATTGCTTGCAGTACTGGCAAAAAATGTAATGTACCATGAGAGGAGTAATTTAAAGGCCATAAAATATTTAATATCCGATTGCTCACTGTATTGAATATAGTGGTTCTATTTGTGGTTCTATTTGAGGCACTCTGAATAATGATCTGACTTCACTCTCGGAAAATATGTGTGCAAAGTTTCAAAAACTAATATATTAGTTTGAAATCAAACATACAGATGGCGAATGGACAGGACTAAATGAGTTTTACAAATCAAGCTGATCGAGTATATATATTTTATCGTATCTTCGGTATATCCTTCAATGCGTTACGCTCTCTTACGTAAAAGGGTTCGTATCAATTAGATATTAATAGGTTAACTGTACTTATAGTATTGTAAATACTAGAATTAGGTCTAACTAAACTAATGATAATGAAAATAAAGTAAACCAAAGAGATACTTGTCAGTAAAACCAGCGTTTACTAACATAGAGATTAGTATATAATTAGGTATTATTTTGTTCAACTTCAACAATTTGTCGAAAACAGATGTTTAATCCGTACTTTGAACAAATTGCACTGGAAAGTGTTTCGATAAGTTTATTATTAGTGATTAAAACCACATATGTGTGTACTGATTTTTTTGAAAGTACTACCCGAAATGTGATACCGGTAGACATACAAAACTGACATCGAATATGTGCACCTAAGTACATATATTAACTGCAGTTGATAAAAACAAGGGAAGCCAAAACGGCATGCATAATTCAGCCGATCCAGGACACCTATATTTCAAGTTCTTCCCATCAAACCTTACACCCGTTTAAAACAATAAGCTAAAGATACTCCTATTGAATAAGATAGGAAGACTATAATTATTTATCCGCAAAAATAAGCGCATGAAAAGTTTTTTGCAAGATGAAGGACAAATTCGAATACATATAGGTAGGTAAAATTCTTTAAAATATTTTAGCTAGTAATGGCTGCATGGAAATATAATATAAGTGAAATTGTACCAAATACATTATATTTTTATATGACAAAGTCAATAGTTTTTCGAAAGTAAAGCAAATAAGATTTAATAATTGTATTATATATTATTCATATTTGCTATGTAATCCTTTGAAAATCTTATTCCTTAAAAAAAAAATATTCTTTATGGATTCTAGTTAACACACCAACTGTGATCTACAGTCCTTAAAATTCAATTTAAATTTGTTCATTTTAAAACGTAAAACAGATTTGAATTATTTTAAAACCATAATGGCAGGCAGTTTAGTATATACTTCAATAAGACAATAAAATAAAATGTTTTTAGTACATTCTATGCGACTTCTGGATTTTCTTCTGACAATTTTGTTTGTTAATATATCAGCCCTATGACACATAATAATGGTTAAAAATCGTCACACAAACATCATTATTCGAGCACCTAATTAGCATACTCTCTTCAAAAGAGCCACAACTGAAAATGTTTTGCAGAATCATTCCTAAAAAAAAAAGAGATATAGCTGTCTTATTTCACAATTTCCAGTAATAAAAACAAAGTGG